CTCTCTCTGGGTAAAAACATTATAAGACAATGATTTTTGCAACATGCAATGTTTGCACCTTGATGGATAACCAATACAATGAATGGCCAGAAAGAAGAACTGCCATCATCCCCAGGGAACTAATAAGATATAAAATCAACATTGCAGTTCCAAATGAGACAAAATGCCTGGAAGAAGGTCAGCTGAGTAAAGAGGGCAGAGGCTAAACCTTCTTCTGGGAAGGGAAATCAGCTCAGGACAGATGAGTTCACAGCATTGGCTTCACCATCAAGAATAAGCTCATCATTCAAATTACAGGGTCCCTGGCGGGCATTAATGAATGTCTTATGACCCTTTGTCTTAAGCTCAGCAACAAGCAGTATGCCACCATCATCAGGACATATGCCCACTTGATGCTGACAATGATATCAAAGAACAGTTTTACTCCAAACTTGACTATGTTCTGACTAATACCTTCAGGGAGGACAAGATAATTCTCCTTGGTGACTTCAATCTAGAGTCAGATGTGACCTGGGACTCTGGAGTGGCACCAATGGGAAGGAAAGAGTAAGGGAAGACAACTACAATGGTACCCTTCTTCTGAATAAATGCACAGAGTACAGCCTTGTCATTATGAATGCTATTTTTAGACAAAGTGAAAAATACAAGAACATATGAACATGAGTCATCAGTATGACACAATCTTCAACTAAGCTAACCGTACTTTATCATGCATCAAATAAAACCAAAGAGGTGATACTTCCCCTCTATGTGGCATTAGTCAGATTGCAGTTGGAGTACTGCATCCAGTTTGGGTGCTGTACTTTAAAAAGGATGTGGATAGCCTTGAGAGGGTCCAGAAGAGGGCCACTCAAGGGTTTACAGGCCAAGCCCTATGAGGACAGACTAAGGGACCTGGACCTCTTCAGCCTCCACAAAAGAAGGCTGAGAGATGATTGAATGGATGTCCAAATCACGTGAATCATGTGAGGCACCAGTGAATGCTGGACAGATCACCATCTTTTCAGATCCATTGTGAACATCTGGCTTGCTCTGAAACACCAAAAACAGCTAGAAGCAAAGTGAGGGGTTTTCAATACCACATCTTTTCAATACTCAAAGGTCTGTAAGGATCTCCAATGTTGCCTTCATGGAAAGCTCCCTGCTCTGTCTAAAAATGAAAGCAACATTGAGTAACTCTGGAAAGGGTTTGAAACCACCAGCCATATGGACTGTGCTGAATTTATTTGCTATACCACCTGTTGACAACAAGACTGGTTCGATGAGACCAATGCTGAGAACCAAGCCCACTTTGACTGGAAGCAAAGAGGGTTTAGAAAGATTACATCCCATTTCAGTGAAAGAAGGATATGTATCAGCTCCTCAAAGCCAAAGCTCGAAAGGAGAATCCAGGAAACCAAAAATCAGCGGTGGCAAGATAAAGCCAAAGCGATTCAGCTGCATGCTGATAAACATGACATGCATAGTTTTTCCAGGCAATGAAAGACATCTACAGTCCAACTTCCCAAGATACTACTTTCCTGCAACAGCAGAATTGTGCAATGCCCCTTAGAGACAATGAATCTGTCCAAACTAGGTAGAAAGATCTCTTCGAGGAATTCTTGAACTGTGAGTAAATTGTGGCAGATAGCACCATCGAGTCCATCCCCCAACACAGTGGAGGGTATTCCTCGCCAAGCCTCCTATCCTAGAAGTCTGGCATGCTATCAATAAAACCAAGAGCAACAAGTATACTGAATCAGATGGCATGTCTACTGAAATCTGCAAGGCTGGTGGTGAGACACTGGTACTGGGACATCACTAAATTATTCTATGAATTTAGAACAACAAAGTTGATGGCTAGATTTGGAACTTAGACCTATTTACTTTTAATACACATGTATGCAATTAACATAGTATATTTAAGTTAGTTATTAGAGTATATATTTATAGATGATATTTACTACTTAACATAAATATAGCTAAGGGTATACAGAGCAAGGCCACTGACAGATTGAACCTGACAGGGGAATGGTTTCCCATAGAAACCTAACAGAAATAGTTTACACACACATTCCAAGATAAGGATGCAGATAGAGGGAGTGTTTTTCCCAAGGCATAACAGGCTTCAGATGGTACCTCTCATGCATTCCATCTGAGATAAAGGTGCAGCTGGAAGCATGAAAACAAGCCCAACTCTGGGGTGGAAAAACTCCAGTTATTGTATTATGGGAACTGCATTTTAGCAACCCCTTATTGGCTGAACAAGGTGCACTAGACTTAACCCACCGATGACTGAACACCAGAACAGGACAGATGGCATAAAATGAAGGTATAAACCTGGAGTGATACACAAGAGCAGGGCGCTCTCTTTCCTTCTGGCATCAGCCTACCGTTGAGATCACTGAAGACAGGAGACCCACAGATCAGTGATCAGCATTCTGGCCACCTTCCTCTGAGTATCCCTAGAAGCCTGGTGTGTGGTGAGAGCCTTGCTTGCCTGTTAATCATCATATACTACCATGGTTATCAATAAGAGTCTCCTGGTATCAAACTGACATAACATGATTGGTCCTTGATGGTTGCACCTGGCCCTGAATAAAGTGCTAGCTAGTGATTCAAGAAATCAGGCCAACAAAAGAGGTCCCTGGGGACATGAGAAATGTCAACATCATGACTATATTCAAGAAAGGAGATAAGTGTGTTTATGGGAGCTATTGAGGTATTGCACTACTTTCAACAGCCGGGACAATCTTTGCCCACATCCTCTCAAATCTTTTTCTACTTTTTGCTGAGAAAGTACTTTTGGACTCTCAGTGTGGTTTCAGACCATCCCATAAGGCAAATGGCATGATCTTTGTTGCCCACCAGGTTCAAGAAAAGTGTCAGGAACACCATGAGGACTTGTATATAGCTTTCATTGCCCTCACTAAGAACTATCTTCATCTCACAGCCTGGAGATGTGTCCCCAATGATTCCTACAGAAAATCCTCCTCATCAAATGGGAAGATAACTGTGTAAACATCAGCATCCTTGCCAAAGCCAATGCTACCAGCACTGAATCAGTGATCTTCAATTGCCAACTTTGCTGGAATGGACACTATTTGTGCATGTCTGACTCTCAACTCCTAAAATAATTGCTCTGCTCCCAGCTTGGTAACACCCTGAGATCTCATGTTGGCTAGAGGAAATGCTACAGGGACACATTAAAGGCATACCTCAAGAAAATGGATTCTGACATGAAGACCTCAGTGGAGTTGGCTGTCAACTAACTCCAATGGTGCTTCAACCTTAACCAAGAATCAGCCTGTTTTGAGGTACAGTTTATTGCCCTCAGATGAGAAGAGAGAGGAGGAAGGAAAAGAAGAGGAATGCTAGCCTACGGCCTTCTCTCTTTTGTGAAAAGACCTGGAACTTTGGTGAATGGGTCTGTGGCTCAAGGATTGGATTCGTAAGCCACCTCAGGATGCATCAGTGAGTTGTGCGGGCCGGGAGCGGTCCGAGGCACTTTTTTCGCGTGGCAGGCTGTGGCCAGCAGCCCGGACACGCCAGGTTGGGGAAGGCAGGCGGCACGCTAGAATTAGGCACGGAAGCTTAGTGGTTGATTTAAGATTATTTACTTACACCGAAGATGGTCGCGGTGCAGGCTGGGAAACTTCCAGGAAACCTTCGCTTACGTTGCAGTTTCACTCGACTCAGACAGAGCTCTGGATACACTCACATGAAGTTTGCTAGGCTTCGTGGAACTTGCACACAGGGAAGGGTACATCGAGGGATTAGGCGGCGACGAGGAGAGGCGAGAGGCTGATCAGACCCCTGTAGCCTTCTTGATATACACGCTGGGTCCAATAGGCTCCGCAGCGCTTAGAGATCTTCACAAGATGTGAAGTTCTCTTCCTCCTGATAGTCGTGGAGTCCTCCAACTTGGGCGGAAACCGCTCAAGCCTCTTATACAGCTAGCAAGCCAATCGCTAGCCACCACGTAGGAATAATTTAGAACTGGCCAATAGTGGGGCACAAATTTGCATGCGGGTGGCAGGAACTCCTTTGCACCGTGCATCTCCTCTCTGCTGTTCAGAAAGGCACCCTGCAAAGAAAGCTATGAGTGGCGGGAAATAATTTAGCAGTGCCGAAGCGCACACAAACAAAAATCACACCCTTGGGTTGTGACATGAGTGATAGTAGAGATCATCCTGAAATTCGGGAATTGCCAGTGATGATTACATTGGGCCACTTCATTGTGGCACACATCTGTTTGCTTAAGGTGGGAGAGCTCCAGTCATGTGAAGCTGCTAAGGCTTTTCAGACTTCCTGGGGCAGGAGCTCTGTGGGCTTGAGGGGACCAGTTCTGCGCACACTGAGAATTCCCAGGAAGGATAAGTTCCCTCAAGCCTTGGGAGCATCCTCCTTTCTTTCCCAGCTTACTCAGACACATCCCTACAGACACATGCCTAGGTAAGTGGGGAAAGTCAGGGCTTCTGGGTGCATGTCTGTAAGTGGAGGTTTTGTACTTGCAGACTTGCACCCCATGCATTGCATGGGGTAATCCCTCTGCAGATTTCCCTGTGCATGCAGGTGGGTGTGGGAGGAAAAAGCCCCATAGCAGGACCTCCATTTGCATTTGCTGCCTGTGCTCCATGCTGCTGCCAAAAATGCACACCACCCTTAAAGAGGGTTTTCTGTGTATGCATCTGCAAACTCAGAGGGATGAGTGGGAGTTGCCCCCACATGCTTCTATAGAGGAATTCACCACATGTACAAATTTGGCAAGGGAGGTGGGGGAGATCTACTTACAGATACACCCACAAGGAAATCCCCACTTCCCCCACTTCCCAACAGGGGGCACACCTGCAAGTGGAAGACAAGGACCCTAAGTAAGGGGGACATCTATAGATGTCCCTGGAGCACAATCAGCGGTGCCATGATGTGTCACAGAATAGCTGATTATGCTCCATTGAAAACATCTGTTTTCCGATTTAGAGATAAAAGGACTGAACATACAAAGAATGCAGTATAGTTACCTTTCTCACAGAAATGCCCAGTGAAGTGAAGTTGGCAATCACAGTGAAATGAGGAGGCCCCATTATCCAGATAGATGTGATGACAAGTCCCTCCATTATGGCATAAACTCTCCTGGCATGTTGTTGGTAATGCAAAAGAATTCAAGGAGGGCATAAGAGACTGGAGCACTTCAGACTTTTCAGGAAAAGCTGCGGGTGAAGCTGATGATATTTGTGTAGAGATGGGAAGCCTGGAAAGATAAAAGGAATGATCAAATTGAGAGTATTAAGAAACTGCTGTGAGGTCTAATTTAAAGCAATTCTCAAGCTCAGTATTGTTTTTGTTTCTTTGTTTCCTTGTTTGATTATTGGTTCATTTTTTGTTTTTTCTCTCTTTTCTTTTTAATAACTTGGAACTGCATTTCGAAAAACTCTTATGTATCTTAGTAATTTTCATCCTGAAACCAAAAAAAGAAAATACATATATACAACTGTTGGCGGTTCCTAGTGGAAGAATGGATTTTTTTTTTTTGACTAGCAAAGGGGAAAGCCACAGGTTTATGGTGTTTTGAGACATTTTTAAAAGCCACTAGTTCTAAATCCTAGGTAATATGGGTATGGAGAGAGTTATATCAACTTGTTGTATTTTGGGGGTAGATTGTGTATTTGGGGTGCAAGATGCTCTGTTGCATATATCTTAACTGCCAAAGATAAAATTAATAGATAAATTATATTAATATAAACAGGGATACAATGTTTTTATAAAAGTAGTGACCATGTTATACAGTCAGAGCATGGATATGTAATGTTTAATATCAGCACTTTGATATCAGCCAGATTGTAATGCAAAATACAGATGGTCACTAGCAACTATGAAAGGAGGGAGGGAAATGGTGTTCCTGTCTTCCAATAATCTATGAGATTTAAATTTTTCCTTTTCTGAAAAGTAAATACTTTGAAATCTTTGTGAATCAAATTTAAAAACAAAATCAATTTAAATAATAAAGTCCAATAATTTTGAAATTTTATATTTATATTTTGACATTTTGGGTTTTCAATTTTTTAAATATACATTAATTTAACATTTTAAGTAAAACAGTATTTTAAACAAAAAAAAATGAAACTTAAATTTAGGAAATACCCAGTTAAGAAGGTTTGATATTTTTAAAATTTTCTATTTTTTCTACAGGGGAGAGGCCATGCTTGGCAGCCAGGATGCAGCCTCATGGTCACCAACACCCACAGCTGGGCCGTGCGGATGTGCTGGCTCCGCTGGAGGAGAACCCTGGACAGGACCCTCCTCCTGGACCACCTGGTCACAGTTTTGGAGGATGAGCTTGCAGACACTCAGGCCTGGCAGGCAGAGGACATCACTCAGGAGGGTGCATGGGGCCATTGCGAGAAGGCACAGGACTGCACGAGGAGACATGGGACTGGGTAGACAGGGAGCTTCAGGTGCAGCTCCTGGCCCTACAGCATGAGTGGGTGGAGGTGCTAAGGGAGGAGAATGCCATCATGGCCCAGGAGATGCAGGTCATGGATGATGACTGCCAGGTGCTGGACAACATTCTGGCCCTGGTGGTCACTTTTATGCTGCCTGCTGCACGGCCCATGACTCTAGATCTGCCTGGCCCCTGGCAGCCACCTGCCACTCAGCAGCAGGTCCCCACCTGGGCCAAGGAGGTGGTCGTGTGCCAACTCCAATAGCTGGGAGTCCCTGCCCTGCACCTTGCTCCAAATTTGATACCACCCAGCCTGCCTGCCCGGGCCCAGCCACACTGCTCACCTGAGCTCCACTGGAGCTGCCTGCAGTGGGGCCAGGACCACACATCAGTCCTGCTGAGCCTGTACACTGCCTGCAGGGGAGCATTGGCCACCATTGCCCCTGTGTGAACCCCCCACTTGCTGCACTCACTGCAGCATGCACACCTGCACAGGAACAGCCAGAGGCCAGGGTGCTTGCTGCTTCTCCCTGGGCTGTGCCTCCTGCTGCTGCCAAAAAATGCACACCACCCTTAAAGAGGGTTTTCTGTGTATGCATCTGCAAACTCAGAGGGATGAGTGGGAGTTGCCCCCACATGCTTCTATAGAGGAATTCACCACATGTACAAATTTGCAAGCCCCCCACCCCAGGATGGCAAACAAAGGACCTTGTACAAATTTTTTCATGGAGAAGAAGGCACCCATTGGTGGGTGGGGTGGGTGGTGGAGGTGCTCTGTTTATTGGGGAGGGAGAAGGGATTGGTGCTCTGGTTGATGTGAGGGGAATAAAATCTTGTGAGACATGTCTACACTGAGCATGGTGGTGGGGTTAGGCAGGGGGGCAGGGGGTTTATGGGCAGCATTGCAGGTGGGATAGAGTGGGGAGTACTGAGGAGGTGGTCAGCCAGAACCTCCCACACCCAGTGCCCTCACCCCCACTGGTGCATGCATGCCTCTCCTGGGTTTCAGTGGGGGAGGGCTGTCACTGCTGCTGCCGCCATGGGCAGTGCTCCTACTGCCAGGTGTACTCCGTGTGCCATAATTCCTCTGGCTAGGCCTCCCTGAATAGCTCCCCTCGGGCTTCACAGATGTTATGCAGCTCACAGGCTGTGATGATGACCTAGGGGAGAGTGCCTCGGTGAACTCAAAGTGGGCAGTGAGGGTATGCCAGTGTCCCTTGAGATGCCCGAAGGCACACTCCACAAGGGCACAGGTCTGGCCTAGGCAGCAGTTGAAGTGGACCTGGTGGTGTAGGACCACATGAGCCAGGGCAGGAGTGGGTAAGTGGGGTCCCCAATGAGAAAAGACAGGACCACCATGGTGCCCAGCTGCTGGCCTGGCACCCCTAGCATGAAGTACCCACTCTCTTCCAGGCTCAGCCGGCTGGAGTTTCTGAAAATACAGGCATTGTGGGTGCAGCCTGTCCAGCTGGCGCTCACATGTGTGAAAGCCCCACAGTGGTCCATGATGTCCTGGAGCATCACAGAGTGAAAACCCCTCTGGCTATAATAAATGCAGTCTCTATGGGGTGGGCAGGTGATGGGGATGGGTGTTCCATCCAGGTCCCTGATGCAATGGGGGAATCTCAGAGCATGAAACCCTGCCACCACTGCTAGGGGGTCATGAATGTGGAGCATGGTGTCCTCCAGCACATCCTGGAGGGTGCAGCATACCTCCAGGATGGCCTTCCTGGTGTTGGCCTTGCCCACACCAAACAGGTGACCAAAATACTGCAGGTTGGTGGGTGTGGCCAGTTTGGGCAAGGCGAGGGCCAAGTGGGTGTCCACCAGGAAGGATTGCTGCATGGGTGTCCACCAGGAAGGGTCCACCACTGCTTTTCCCAGAGATAACCATATATGTGTCTCATTAGGCTCTTAAGGATTTTATGGTAAAATGGGACCAAACCCTATAGTTAATAAGTGAATACAGAGACACTAAATTGTGTTTGGCAAGGCAGAGCATGTGGAATGCTTGCATAAACCCAGGTGTCATTGGGAGATTTGTGGCCCTATAAGAAAATCATACAATTAAAAAAAGAAGAGGTTGCACACACTTTATGTTATAGACTGGCATACTTGTTTCATTTTGTGCACAATGTGAGGTTTTGCTTTGTCCCTTCCAGGCAACTTCTGCTTACTAAAAATGGCAGGGTTCATCTAATGAATATTGATCAGATCACTCAATGTATTGCTATTCTGATTGTCTTATGAGTTTTACACTTTCTGAAATATTTCACTATAACATGCTGCAGCAAGTCACAGAATAAAGAGATAAATTATGTTGAAATGAAATGGCAGTACTATTTTGGTTGAGCAGAATGGGAGACTGGCACCTAACTGGATGACATTTCTTTCTTACAATCAACTTACCAATGCCTAACTTGAAGGCATGTCTCTGTCTGTTTGCAATATAATAGCTTCTAAGTAACATATTTGATCAATTCCAAAATTTCAGACACTTGTTGGCATCAGTGGTGATTTTGGTAAAAATCAGGCTACTGGATAAGCCTGATGCCAATAAGATGCCTGGTGCTGCAAGCAGAAATCTCTCTCTGACTTCTGCTAGTAGTGTCTAAACATATCACAGGCAACAAATTAACTTGCTACATGATAATTACGTATAGCTTAGGATCTAACATACATGATGCATCTGTGTGAGATGCTTTACTGCACAACTGACTAATTAGCTCTGCAGTAAAGCATCACTGTCTACACGTGTGGTGTTATTAGGCCACAGTAAGTTAATTAACTTCACCATGAGATAGTACTGCCCAACACAAGTACTATTCTACAGTGGAGTTTAGTGCACTGCAATGCATGTGTAGATGGTGTTGGGGCTGGCCTGGGCAAGAGGGTGCTACAGTGCAGGGGCTTCCTGTCAGCTAGTCCCACACTGTAGCACCTTCATGCCCAAGTCAGCCCCTCCACAACACACTGAGCTGGGGAGGAGCAGTTCCAGGCTGGCAGGCTGACCCCCCAGGCTGCACCACCCTGCCTCAAAGTGCTGCTGTCTCAGGCACATGTGTAAATGTTGTGCCCATGAGCAATAAACTCTGGCACGAACTGTGCTGGAGTTTACTGCTTCACATTAATAGCATATGTAGACGCACTCACAAAAGCCTTAAAGGGAAATTTGAGAGGGTAGTGGGTTAAGTGTCCCTGAGGCAGACTGTGCATGTAAGGGGGCTAAGTAAAGAACTGAAGGCAAAGGGTTGGATGCGATGAGGCAAAGAATTGGGACTACACTGGTTTCTATGGGTCTCAGGAAGGCAAAGAGAATTAAAACCTTGATTGTAGCAAATTGGGGCCTTCTACATGTGCAGGTAAAGGCACAATGGGACCTAATGTACAATTTACACAAGTACATCTCCTGCCATACTGCACATGCATGAAAGAAGGCATGACTGGGGGATCAGCCATTAGATCCCATTGCACCTTATTGCTGGACCAGGGAGAACCTGATCCTGGGATCCTCCTGCACTGGTAAGAAGTAAGCTCCTATCACTGGGAGCCACCTCAACTGAGGGTCTTTCAGCCGTGCGGGCACTCCATGCAGTAGCTGTGATCTCCCAGCCCTGGGGGCTTTACATCTTCCCACAGCTGTGACACCATGGTCACTGTGATCTCCCAGCCCCGGGGTTTTCACACACTCCTGGGCCTGGGAGATTGCAGCCATGCCCCACAGCTGCTGGGACTCAGCTGGGTCCCAGCCTCAGGAAGTGTGCTGCTTGGACCCAGCATCTGCAGCTGTGGGACTCTGGGTCCTAGCA